TTCTCAGCTGCATCTCCACTCCCTTGACTCATTTCCTCTGCTCCCAAGCACAGGTTCCAGCTCCCCCCTTGCTGTCCACACCGAAGTCCCACTCAATTTCCACAAGTGTCGGCGCCAACGAAATTTCGGCAGAGTTTCCCCTTAGCGGAAGTCACATGCAACCTCCAGAACTCCACTTAGGCACGCCCACAGGCCATGGTGGGTCTAGGAGGGTCTTCACACTTCAGTAGTCTCTCCACAATGTCCTTAATCAGCTCTGATACCACTTGTTAGAGACTAAGGACGGATTCTACGAAGATTAGGTGTCTAAATCTCTCAAAATCGTTGGCTTAGAATTCTGGACAGAAACGTCGAGTTCACAAGAAACGTCGTCGACGAATAACGCACGGTTAGAATTCTCTCAAACTCGAGTATGTTGTAGCCCTTGACCGTGGCTATCTTTCCCAATTTGAATAGTATCAAACTATTGAGTATAACTCGAGTTATGAACTTCGGCGCACTAGGGGGTATGCTGCCATAGAAAACGTAACTCAATAACAATGATCTCACAAGTTCACACAAGAAAGTTAGAGTAGCAATAGAACCAGGTAGGAGGGGATGAGGAGGACGAGAGGGAAGGTCCCAAGGGAGTCCCCAACCAAGGACACCCCATTCCACACAATTCCCCTCTCTATAGGCACCCCAACTTTGACATTTGTCACTTTCCCAACTCATGCCATCCACCTCACCCAACTTGGCCACACTTGCCAACCTGGTTTGGCACCTCCCAACCACTTGGCAGCATCTACATTGATGTTGACGAATTTCCCAACCCCCAAAAGTCTATACTCCTTATGGAGTCAACACCACAACTTCCCATAGTCACCACAACCAAATATCAAAAGCATACGAACTTCGAACGTTCGTAACTTTCTTGTTCGTGCTCCGATTGAAGCGATACTTGGTTCGTCGGAAAGCTCTTGAGCAGAGGAGTCACTTTAGATATCTGCTCAGAAAAACATTCACACACACTCAGAAAAACCAAACCGCACAAAACACAAATTCTTGCATACGCTCACACCACGCATGCAACGCACGAACTCATGATGGGAGGCAGACAGACGTGAATGCATATGATTGCATCACACAACACGTCTGTGTGTTGAGAGGAACTCAAAAGATGTACATGGCAACCACTGTGTCACACTGCGCGCCAACTCCAGATTCGACGTTTTGGCGCGGAAAAGCAGCTCCGTCCGGGCGTCGCACGTGTCATGCTAAAACTGCACTCGTCATTTGTTCATTAGCATGTGATGTGACGTACGCGGTACTGCACGCCAGATGATAAACACGAAATACAGCCGCGTTGGCAAACCTGCGGCTGCATGCCATCATATGAAGATCTTGTGTTTGAAAGCGGAAGAATGGTTCCGGGTGCCTGTGTGGCCACCAAACCCTATCCACGAATTTACGTCTTACACAGTCCCGGTACAATGTTTAAATATGAGACATAGCGGAGCAGAACGAGATGTTTCCGAACAATATTTTGGTGAGGTCCTTCACAATCGTAGTGCCGCATGCTGAAAACGCGTCAAACACACTCTATTACATGATTCATGTCACATGAGACATTAACCGCATCATGTCAAGCACCTAGCGACATCGACGTTCTTAGATGACCGTCGCAGCAGACTTTCGGGGACGCTTAATAGGAGTACGGCGAAGACGACTAACCACTTCGGCGTTCGACGCACCAAACCGTTCAGGCGCGTCTCGCACTTGTATGCCGAGAGAGATGGCTTGACGAACAAGTAGTTCGGAGACCACGCGTGCTACGCGCCTGCGACAACGACTGTCACTGAATAGCGGGCCAGGATGAGTGTTCAGTGTTATGACGGGGTCTTCCACAGAGGCGGGCGTCTCGTTACCGACACGCTCAACGCGTGGGGGTATAAGGAGCTGCTCGCAATGGGCAAAATCTGTAGCATGCATGAGGCCTTCGCCCCGAGGCCTGAACTCGTCTATTAGCCACTGCAGCTGACCCAGCTCCAACACCAGTGGTTCTGACAGGACGCTAAGTATTGGGTTCTTGTACGCACGGATGGCGAGTCGCCATGATGCTGGCACACATCCAGCGCGCCACCAGCTAAGATGGACCGACGCAGGCGTGGCTTCCGACCACGAGGCCCCCATCCATCGAATCATGTGTAACAGGGGCGGGAGCCGGAACTCAGAGCCGTCGCGCCACTCTTGAGTCCACATCAAATGTCGCAGGTAACATCCACGATAAAGCGTCCTCCACAACTCCACGATCCCACACTGGCCGGGATGGATGCACCGTGGCGCAGCGCCGTGCATGTGAACGATACGGAGGTTGCTCAAGTTTTGGACGCGGAAACCATGTTCCGTCGTTTCCATCGCAGAAATGTCTGTCGTAGCGTGGGAGTCCTTCGTTACAAGGACAATGACGTGGTCGTCCGTGGAGTACGAGACGCCGTTCAACGCTTCCAGGTACTCGCTGAATATCTGCGTGAGGAGCAAGACAACGAGTGCGAAGTATAGTCAGTAGGGGTGTCACAGCGGTCGTAATCAGGTGTAGCCATTGGTTCTCGAGATAATGCATGACAGTACGCACATCGGGGGTGACTGTTCCGTCGATGGTGTGGCGCACGAAGACGGGATGATCGGCCGGGTTTTCTATGCCCTGCGCAAGCTCGTCTTCAAGGCGAAACATTACCAGCGGCGGACACATGACGGTGCCGGCTGCATTGAAAAGAAAGCCAATGTTGAGGTGCCAGTCGGGACGCGGGTCGAGTCGGCCATCACCAGAAATGCGGAAGGGCAGCTTGGTGGGCAGGATGGCTTCTTCCACAAAGCAGAACACGTCCTGAGGGTGAGCCTGTAACTCCTCGAGCAAAAGGGCCATTTCAGCCATGGTGGCGGGAATTCAGCGCTTTGCACATGTGGTGCGCGAGTTATAACAGAAGGAAGCGAGACGGATTAACGGGCTCTAATGACGGACAGTGCCATTACCCACGCGGACGTTATCCGCCACGTAATCAATACCCTAACCAACATTGTGAACTTGCGTACGTGACATGGACACATGGAGTATTGTCATTCGGACAGAGGGCGCCACTATCGACCGCATGGAGGGGGAACAGCTGGGATGAGTGGCCCGGATGAGACCAGTGTACATTGGCCCCCCCCGACCAGGGACTTAGATTCCGCAGATAGTACTGTAACCGGAATGGAGTGAGTGATACTTTTAGCGGGTTTGTTCCATAGCAAACATAGAAGGCCACAGTTGGACATGGGCTAAACACAAGATCATAAGTAGAACTTAGCAACTGAGTGAGAAGTACAGTACATGTACGGCCCATCTGGCAGACTGATACCGGGCCCGGCGTTAAATTGACCGCTACACACCGTGCTTTAGTTTCAATCAACCAGGTCAACTGACGTGCCAAATGTCATATGGACCAACCTCGTTTCTACCGGCGATGAATACGCTAGAACCGAGCTGGGAGAGACCTGCAACAGTTGCAAACATTCAGGCACATATTGTGCCTTCGGATGGACGAACAGCCTTATCGGTAGGCAGAAGTTAGGGTTAGCACAAGCTCTAGCAATGCTAGGCAACGTCTGCGAGGCGTGCGGACTGGAACATGTTGACGACAACACACTCCAGTCGCATGTGTCGAACAATATTAAATGCAGGCGCAAGATTCAACACTCCCGTGCCCAGCGGCTGGTGGAGGCGTATCGGGACGCGCTCCGCGCCAGACGCGGAGCTAGGCCCCAAACACCCGTGCGTTATACAAACAACAATGGAGGCGCTTCGGCGTCGGGCGGAGAAGTGGACCCTGCTGCAGTTGTCGATGAACCAGACGATCCCATAGATCCCGCTGAGGAGAGCGATGGGGAGGAGGGTGTTATGTCACATATAGACGGTTATGTCACATATAGACGACGGCTTCAATACTCTCATAGAGCTGTACATCTTCTTCCGCGAAGCCGATCTGTCGCGACGAGAGGTGAATAGACTGCACAGCCTTTTCCAGAACCCTAAGTTCTCTTTGAGGGACGTGCGGAGGTGACTCAATTTCGTGGATGTCAGACGGTTTGGGCGCGAAAGGGCACCAGTTGACCAGGTGCCATGGAAGACAAAGGGCGTCAAGTGCTACGGACCAAGAGGGAGGATGTGCACGCTGCTGTTGCACTACCGGGACACGGAGCTGGTGAGAAAAAACCAGAGTCACTCCGCATACATGGAATGACGATGTATAGATTAACTGCTTGTTATACTCATCCCTTAACAATTAGCGGGAGTGTGTTTGGCAGCTGGTGAAGAAGTTGTTACGGGCATTTCAGCATCGCGGGGTTTGTCACCAAACCGCGCAGGGACGAGGAGGACACCAAGGACGTACGTCATTACAGCACGCCGGACACTGGGAAGTGGTGCCACGAAGCGCAGGTGAGGTGTATGGCCATTGTAGAAGATAACGCCCGAATCAATTTATGCTAGTCCTAATACCGGTCTTTCAACGTGCACAGGCCAGCATGCCAGACGAAGACTGCATTGTGCTGGGGGTGATCGTGTACAGCGACAGCACGCACGCATCCAGGAACGGCAGGCTTGCTGCGTGGCCGGTACTCATCAGTCTATACAACATCCCGGAAGCGCTACGCTGGCAGGAGCCGGGACACCTTATGGCGGGAGTGCTGCCATTCCCGCCAGAGTGGGCGTCGTCAACAGAGAAGACACGAGTATTCCAGGCGTGCATGGAAGTGATTTTTGAGCCATTACTCAGGGCACACCGAGGGTAAGGGGAGCGGTGTATGTTACAAGCATAGTATGATGGATGAGACACGTAAATGACATTTGGTGTGGCGACACGTGCAGTGCAGAGCTTCGATGGTTCTACGTCACCGATGCTACGGGAAAGGTGGTCAAGGCGTTTCCATGTCTTTTCGGTCAGCTTGGTGACTACCCAGAGTCGTCAAGATCCACAGCAACGATGCAGCAAGGATCGCACCGGCCGTGTTCGTCGTGCTACACCAAGGAAACACATCTGTCCGACATTACGCAGGAGTCAGTGGTGCGGACTGTAGAGCACCATAGACGAGTAGTGGCCGCAATCCAATTGGCCCCGGACTCTAAGGCGGCCGAGAAAATCAAAAAGCGATGGTCGACGCACCCGGTGCAGGTGAGAACCGAGTACCACACTAAGAAACCCTGGACTTCATCGTGTGTCAATGCCCATCTTAGTGTGTCAATGTACATGAGCGGCAGTGTTACTTGGAGAGGTGGAACTTCGCAGAGACAACATGGGGCAACGTGTTCCTCGCATGCGCCGCGGACCTTCTTCACGTCCTGGACGTAGGCATGCTCCCACGCATGGGCAAGTGCTTCATGGTGGGGAAGAGCAAGCCAGAGCGAAGGGAATTTGAGAGGTGTGTACGCTCTCATCTGGATATTTCTAGCTGCCGCGTGATGAACATGCAATGCACGTGGCTGACCGTAGATGGGTGGGTTGGCAGGCGCCGCAAGGAGCAAAAGAAGGGCACGCGCGCAAGTGTGGTGCGCATACCAGGAGGGGCCACATGGTTTAGCAGTGGGGCGAACTACGCAGCCTTCGAGCACAGGGGGATGATGCAGGTGATGCCCTTGCTGATTGCCGACAGTATGGCGAGGAGCAAACCAGCGGAGAAGGAGAAACGGCAACGGGAGGTGGCGGCGTTTGTGGCATACGCCAGCTTCTACAAGGTGCTTGTCGGCGTGACAAAGCACACGGACGACACCCTGGACGACGTCAGAGCAATGGCAGTGACGTAAGTTCCGTGATTCGAGCAGACCCTGGTGTGCACTAAACTTTCAAATTGTAGGAATGTGTAGGTGAGTGGTGTGCAACGACATGTGCTGAAGATGTGATGTGCCATTACATCCAGACTTATATCCGCCTCACGTGTCGCTGTGCAGAATGATGGCGGCAATCGTCGCTGCGTTTCCCGACCAGATCTCAGGCTGGAACATCCCGAAGGTGCACCAGATTGTGCACCTGATTGCCGGCATCCCTATGCGTGGGTTGACGCACGAGACATCCACGAACCTATGGGAGCACACACACAAGGGCACAGTGAAGGTGCCGGTGCGAGGAAGCAACTGGCAGGACATTCCACGCCGCATTATCGAGGAGGAGGTGCAGCGCGAGATAGCGCGGGAGGTGTCCGCGGACGCAGGCGGCAACAGGCAGTATGTGACGGCGCTGCGCGAGGTAGTTGCAGTACACGGCATGCAGTCTGCGACACCATGTAGCATGACGTATTGTGTCGGAGTGCGGTAACCTCATGGAATCATTCAGCGACTGTATCACAATCAGTGTGCACACAGGCTGTATGGACGCGCAAACCCGTCCTGACGAAGAAATCACGTCCGGCCAATGTGGACGAGGACCTGGACGCGGTTATGTGGGTGTATCGCGAGGCACATGGGTCCGACATGGACGCACTCGCAGGCTGCATGAGGGCGGCAGGCCTCCCGTCGCCATCCATCGCGGTGAGGCCGGCTTTTATGCATTTTCGTGTGGCATGTGGACCACTATCGTGGGCCGCTCGTGCTAGAGTCCTGGTACTTGTGGGTACAGTCACCAGAATTGCCCTCATGTTGACCGTCATGCGCAGGTGCATACCGCTGTGGCGATACCCCGAACAAGAGGCGGGGAGCTTGTGCCGAAGGGTACGTTTGTGAAGGCAAGCCCATCAGAGAAGTGGTTTTCAGACGTGGCCGTGCTTAACCCAGACGAGGGAGAGTGGTACGCAAGGTGCCTATGCATCTTCAGGGCAAAGGGCGTGGATGGAGAGATGGGGAGGCACGTGTACGTGAAGTACTACGAGGCGGAGGGCACGTGCCCGATGACAACTTGCTTGCAGATGACACCCGGCCGTGTGAGGACAAGGTATGTTGTGGTGGACGTAGAGTGCATCCAGAGGGTGGTGCACATTTGCATGTCTTATGTGGACAAGCGTGTCATGCTGCTCAACAGGTTCCTGCTGGCCGAGTGAACATGAGTGGGTTTGAATCGCTGGGTTCACGGGACAGTTTAGTGGCTTGTCGCACCGTGTGACACGCAATTGACGCTGATTATGTGTGAAAGGGCGATGACCAAAATCACGTGATGGTTGTTGGAAACAACTGATTTAAACGCTTCTGTCGTGTCGAAACACCAAGACAAGAGCGAAGCAGATCGTATCGAAACATCGGTGAGTCAACCCTCGGAGGTTGAACAACTGTTGGAGGTTACGCGAAAGTCAAAGGTCAGCGACCTTTGACCTGACAAATGCAGCGCGACAGCAAGGACAAACAACTGTCTCGATACTGAGCAGTTGCCCGAGTCGACAATGTATCGAACCGCAACAGCAACAGTAAAACAGTTATTAACCGTATCTTTTCATATTCCCTGTATTCTTATAAAAAGCATGTATCTCTTTGTTATTATCAATTTACTTTGCCCTCACATACCAGCGCAAGGTGGTTCACAATCTTTTCATTAAACGCTTCCGCTACTACATCATCCTACTCTTGAATTCTGTCCCGCAAAGATCCTAAGGGCATTCTCAGCCCAACATGGTATGAGAGCAGTCAGGGCAAATTCGACTACAAACAAGATATCTACAACATCGCAAGACATGGCAACGCAGAAGGAGAGAAGCTCCTCTAACGGCTCTCCTGGCACTACCCCTACTCCACCTCCTGCCTCTGGCCTACAGACAGAGGAGGGTACGGCAACAAGACCAAGGGCATCGTCTTCGGAAACTCCCGCAAATCAAGCTGCGGCCTTCGATTCAGACATGATGGAGAAGTTCTTCTCCTTCATGTCCTACGAACAGCACCAGCAAGGGGCACCTGCACAGTCAAACAACAGCAACAACAACGCAACACCGATGAGCCTCGACGGTTCATCCTATGCACGAGGAAATCAACAGCAACGGCCTATCTTTGCTCCGTACGAGCCCCAGCGTGGCTCCGTCAGCTTTATGCCACACCCGCAGCCTGCATCTGGACAAGAAAGGACACTGGACGCACTTCAAGTTCAGTCGCAGTTCGCGCACGTTTTAAAACTACAAACGACAAGGCCTTTCGACGGAAAGGATTTCTTTACCTGGTCATTCGAGTTCGAGCTAATGATGGAAGGCGCGCAGATCCTTGGCTTCTTCGACGGGTCCCTGCCATATCCAACACATGGCACACAGTACGACAAGCAGCAATACACGTATCAGTCAATGATGGCGTACACAATACTGCTGAGAAATATCACTCCAAGTCAGCAGCAGAATATACGGTCTTACCGAGGATACGGCAACTCTGCAGAGCTCGCGTACAACCACCTGAAGAACCTGTATCAAGCAACAGACAGCGTAAATCAAAGTCGGTTAATGGCGCAACTAACGACAGTCGAAATGTAACCAGGCGAAAAGGGGATGGCGTATATCAGCCGTTGTCGCGAATTGCGCGACAAACTCCTTCGATGCGGAGGGTCGATTTCAGAAGACGCCTTCGTCACAGTCATCATCGGCGGCCTCGGTCCTCAGTGGCGCTCCACCCGCGCCATACTCCGAGCGCATGGAAAGATATCAGAAGCAGCACTCTGCGCCGAGATCCACGCTGAGCAGCAAGATATGGACCTGCAAGAAGAACGACATAACAAGAAGGCATCAGTACCTGAATTCGCATTTCACACTCAACGGCGCTACAACTACAACAACTATCAGCATCAACCGAAACTAGTACCTCCGTTCTGTCACCTCTGCAAGACGTCAGGACATCCTCGTATACACTGTCCTAACCGACAACAGTCAGAACCGACGCAGTGGCAGCTTCGGCCTTCAAGCAGTCAAGTTGCCTCAACGCAAGCAAATCCGACATCTCAAGTACAAGTCTCAACAACATCGACGGGACAACCTGCGCAAGAAACAAGAAACATCGTCAGTTGTATGACACGGTTAACCGATTCCTGCATCACAGAATCACCACCATATTACTCACCGGAAAAGCAGCTTGACAACAGCACGTCTCGCCGCGAGTCACTTCAACCAAATCCGACCTATGCAGCCATCGCTCAAAGCGAGCCATCCGGGAAGGATACGTGGTTCTTGGACAGTTGCTGTGGACAGCATATGTGCTCCTCAGGACGTTTTGTTCAACGTGAACACCAACTTCAACGCGAAGTTGTCATCACCGTCGCCAACAACCAGAACCTGCGCACAAGACGACAAGGCGTAGTGCAACTTCAGTCACGAGAGACAAATGTCATACTGCAGATGTCAAAGGTTTTAATAGCAGAAGGACTCGGTTACAACTTACTGAGTGTCAGTCAGCTGATGGCGAAGGGCATACACCTCGAGGCCGACAGCACCACTCAGGAGTTTAAGTTATACCACGGCAAGGGTGGTCTCTACATCGGAAAGGCAGTCTTGAAAAACAACGTATTCGTCCTCGACTTTGTCCCAGATCTCGGCACTGCTGACAGTGACGGGATCGTCACCTTCACCTCTTGGACACATCCACCGGATCTTGACCCCGACTTCAGTCCAGAAGGCTTCTGGTACTCACACACCATCCCTGAAGCAGAATGAACAAGAGCATTAGCAACGATTCAACACTCGGCAGCAGCAGAAACAACATCGGCAGCAGCAGAAACAACCTCGGCAACACCAACAACACCTACAACACCAGTCCTGAGTTCTTCAACGACATCGCCACACACCGACAATACTTCACCGACTCCTGCGCAGCAGCTAACTCCCACTCCTCGCGAAATTCACAGAAGCGCCAACTTCACCGCCGCCTTTTACTCCAACTCCGACCTGTATCGTCGTTCACCCGGACATCGCGCCAGCGAAGACATCTGGCATGCACGAATGGGACACCCAAGCAACACGGTGTTAAACAATACAATCCGAGCCAGCGTACTCGACAAGGATTCACTACTCCAAACGGACGGAAGTGAACTTCGACGAGCGCGAGGAACGTGTTTTACCTGCCCCGAAGCTGACTTACCGCATCGACCTTTCACTTCTCATCACAACCCAGCGCACCAGCTTACGCACCACTTGAAAAGGTGTACAGCGACATCCTGTACAATCGCGAACCCGGACAAGGAGCATACAGCTACACCATCACGTTCATCGATGCCGCTACACGTTACGTTTGGCACCTTAATCTCCCGAGCAAGGACATGGCTTTCGAAGCCTTCATCGCTTGGCTTCCAGTAGCAGAACGAGAATCAGGCGAGAAACTGAAAAGCTTTCAGTCAGACGGAGGAGGAGAATACACCTCACAGAGGTTCAAGCAGTTCTTGGCAGAAAAGGGAATCAAAAGGCTCATCTCGCTTCCTTACGCCCATCAACAGCAAGGCGTGGCGGAACGGATGAATCGAACTCTCCAGAACACCATGCGCAAGTTACTGCGTGGCATGCGATTGCCCAATCACCAGTGGCCTGAAGCGATGGACCACGCTGTCATGCTGCACAACTTGCTTTCGTCGTCATCACTACCGAACAACGCATCACCGCACCTGCTGTGGACAGGAAAACAGGGCAGCACAAAAATGTTAAGAGTTTTCGGCTGCATGGTACAGTACCGACCCCCATCTGCACGAGCCGGCCGATTTTCCCAACGAGCACAGTGGGGACTACACCTGGGCATCGAAAGAAATTACAACGCGTGGAAGATTTTCGACGTCCACTCCAAAGAAACAGTAGCAGCACGTGACGTCATTTTCTACGAACGACTCACCCTTCCGACATATCTTGCCAACCTGGAAGAAAATCGGGATCCCACAGGTGGCTTCCGTGGTGACCGACACTTCGCCTCGGCAGCAGACGAAGCTGACTGGGACGAGCAGAACGTGGATAACGCCTCGGAAGAAGCAGGACCACTCCCTTACTGCTCCGCGCCTATCCCGATGGATGACGAAAATCCTCGCGAAAGCGTCAACGCCGAAACATATTTCGACCTCGCCGACACTGGTTACGTTACACCTACAGAAGTCAACACCAACGAAGCAGAACGCATAGGGCCCAATTTCATACCTGACCCAGAAGCAGGTGACGAAGCAGCTTATCCCGAGGACACAACACTCCCCCGCTACACACAGAGTGGTCTTCAGATACTTGGTCTCGTCACCGCGGTCCACGGCACCAATACTCCTAAGGAGCCTGCCACAGTTCAGCAGGCTCTTGGGGGGGAGCATAGGGAAAAATGGCGTGAAGCCATGGATAAGGAACTGAAAGCACTATAGGAGCGCAACACTTGGAAAGTTGTTCCTATCGGCGTGGCACAAAACAAGGCAATTCTCACCGGGAAATGGGTCTTCCGTGTGAAGACGAAAGCAGACGGCACCATTGACAAGTTCAAGGCACGATGGGTCCTACGCGGATTCGACCAAGAGCACGGACGCGATTTCACCGAGACATTCGCCCCGGTTAGCCGACACACTTCACTACGGATTCTTCTCGCGATCGCCGCTATGAAGAAAAAGAAGCTGCGGCAAATCGACGTTGCCAATACTTTTCTCTACGCACCTGTCGACGCAGAAATCTTCGTCGAACTTCCACACGGTTCCCATGGAGAACCTAATCAAGTCTGCCAGCTACTGAAGTCCTTGTACGGGATCAAACAGGCCCCGAGACTGTGGCAGCAGTACCTACACGCTCGACTCACTCGCATCGGATCCCGACAGCTACCGCACGACCAAGGAATGTACCGGCTCACGAAAGGCGACGACTACATTCTACTAATCGTCTACGTAGACGATCTACTCTACATCGGATCGACCGACAACGTTACTACCTGGTTCGAAGGGGAGCTACAAAAGGACCTCACGCTTACAGTATCTTCTACCGTCACGCAGTACCTCGGTCTCAACATCCAAGAAGAAGAAGGCGCGATCTACCTCAACGCCGCAAAGTATGCCGACACCATCGCCAAACGCTTCGCACTCACGCCAACTACCATCTCTACGCCATACCGCTACACGGCAGGAAATGACAAGGCAGAATCTGCTCCACTGAAACCCGCCGGCATACGCAACTACCAGAGAAAGCTGGGATGCCTTCTCTTTGCAGCTGTCACCTGCTGCCGGACCTATCGTACTCCGCAAGTCAACTCGCTACCTACCTCAAACGACCTGAAGCTGAACACATGGCGGAACTAGATCGCGCTCTACACTACCTCGTAAGCACTCCGACGATCGGCCTGATCTACTACAAGAACGTATCTCCAACGCCCAAACTAATCGGCTACGTCGACGCCGACCACGCCGGAGATTCTGACAACAGGCGCTCGCGCACAGGCTACATCTACCGCCTCGAGCCTATCGGACCTATTTCATGGCAGTCGAGCAAACAGGAATTAATCGCCCTCTCCTCAGCTGAAGCTGAATATATCGCACTCTGCTCAGCCACCAAGGAAGGATTGTATCTTCGCGAACTCCTGGAGGAAGCGAAGCTGGCCCAGTTACCCAGCTTCTCCCTATTCTGCGACAACCAGTCGGCAATTCGCATAGCCAACAAAAATGGATTCGCGAACAGGACGAAGCACATCGCCTTGCGATATTTCTTCGTAAAGGACGAGATCGAGAAGGGAAGACTTGAGCTGTCTTACTGCCCCACATCCGAGATGGCAGCTGATTACTTGACCAAGAAGCTCGGAAAGTCGAAGTTCGAATATTGCATGCTGCTGACTGGACAGAGCCACGTCACCAGCAGCGACACTCCAGAAGCGAAGGGGAGTGTTGGAAACAACTGATTTAAACGCTTCTGTCGTGTCGAAACACCAAGACAAGTGCGAAGCAGATCGTATCGAAACATCGGTGAGTCAACCCTCGGAGGTTGAACAACTGTTGGAGGTTACGCGAAAGTCAAAGGTCAGCGACCTTTGACCTGACAAATGCAGCGCGACAGCAAGGACAAACAACTGTCTCGATACTGAGCAGTTGCCCGAGTCGACACTGTATCGAACCGCAACAGCAACAGTAAAACAGTTATTAACCGTATCTTTTCATATTCCCTGTATTCTTATAAAAAGCATGTATCTCTTTGTTATTATCAATTTACTTTGCCCTCACATACCAGCGCAAGGTGGTTCACAATCTTTTTCATTAAACGCTTCCGCTACTACATCATCCTACTCTTGAATTCTGTCCTGCAAAGATCCTAAGGGCATTCTCAGCCCAACAATGGTGACCACACAACACTATTGAAGAGTATTTTATGCAGTATATGTGGGTTGAGCATGACGGTAGTGTATCTTACTTTGACATTCCTAATTGCGTAGACACACAACAGACGAGCCCAATTAGCAGTGGTCGCCGAATGGCGAAAAATGTGCGGCGCGGGGAATTTACATTGGCGCGAGAATCCCAAATGTGCAGTCCGTCGAAAATGTGCGACACATTGCATGAAATGTGCGGTGCGAGCATCCAAAGGCCGAAAAGTGTATAAGGGGAAAACCCAAAATGTGACATTTGCGTCACATGTGGTTTGGGGTCTTTTGTATACTGTATGGGACTTTTTGTATGCTTTTTCGTAGAATAACCTACGGACCCCTGAAATGTGCTTCTTCCTTTTTCGCGATGTACGTTCCTGGCAACCCTATGACTCAAACCAAGGCGAATCCCCAGGCGTGCTGTAACACATGCGCGGCCACGCCCCTCTGCTCGTACTGGCAGTACGTCCCCGATATAACCATCGACGGGAAGAGGGGCAAGGGCGCATGCTTCCTCCTCCACGATAAAATCGACTACACCTGTGGAGAAATGACAGCGCAGTTCTCGACGGAAACGAAGCCCGTGCATTTGCAGGTGCGAGTCGGCGGCGAGTGCAACCCGTCGGCAAAAGTTCTCAACGACCCGCATCTGGTGGGCGCGCACGGCACGGACTTCGACTTCAACGGGCGGCCCGACAAGGCGTTCTGCCTGCTCACGGACCGCAACCTGCACGTCAACATGCTGCTGCGCGGCTACTACTCGGATAACACGGAGAACGCGGCGCTCGTGGTTGATGGCAAGGCCGTCCACACCTGGATCAAGTGAGTCACCTTCTCTGCGTGCCGCCGGCGCTTCCGATGTTTTTTTTGTTTTTTAATGCTCAGAGTGCGACGGATTTCTCAAAATAAGTCTGCTCTATCGAGAATTATGCTAACACGTTTGTTTCTACCGAACTTTCTCGTTCTTCCGTCGTGCAGGGAGCTCGGGATTATCTGGACTGCCGACGGCGTTGACCACAAGCTTCGTCTCGCGGCGCGCGGCGGAAAGCAGCAGGAGCGCGGCGACGGGTTCATGAAGGCCATCGAGATCGACGGCATGATGATCCCCCGCATGCAGCTCGGCGACGTGGTTACCAGCGCTGGTGGACTTGCGATCGAATTTCGCGCGCACGAAATGGAGGGGCCGTTCGCCGTGGATTACTACCAGTGCTGACCATCGACGGTCTCGTGGCGCTCGATCTGAGGCTCCGCGTCGCGCACCCCAAGCTGCAGACGCCTTCAGACGCGGAGGAGCATCTGAATGTCGGAATCGCGGAGCTGGAGCATACGAACGACATTTACGGCGTGCTCGGGCAGACTTACCGCGACGACCACTCCCAACGCGCGGCGGATTTCCAACGGTTGATTGCGACGCTGCAACACCCGATTTCCGCGGATGGGCCTGAGGGAGAGGGGTTCCTCGATGGTACTCCGAGGTCGTATGAGGCGAGCAGTGTGCTCGCGGTTGACTGCGCGTACACTGCTTTTGACCGTGCACAGTATGTCATGCTAGTGGAGCGGTTCCCCTAGTGCGGCGGATTTCCAACGGCCAACACCCGATTTCGGCGGATGGTGCTGAGGGAGAGGGGTTCCTGGATGGTACGCCGAGGTCGTACGAAGCGAGCAGTGTGCTCGCGGTTGACTGCGCGTACACTTCTTTTGACCGTGCACAGTATGTCATGCCAGTGCGGCAGTTTCCGTAATGCGGCGGTTTGAGACGTGCTGCTAAGGTGTATTGTATGGTGGGCTGCGTTTGATGTGGTGCTTGCAGGGTGTCGTTTGGTTTAGAATGTGTGGTGCTGTGAATGCTCTGGTATGATTCTCTCTGGTGGGCTGAATGCTCTCATGTGAATCCCTTTGTTGAGCTGAATGTTGTGGTGCTGTGAATGCTCTTTTATGATTCTCTCTGGTGGGCTGAACGCTTTCATGTGAATCTCTATGTTGAGCTGAATGTTGTGATGGGCTGCAAAAGACTCCGCTCTAGTGGGGCGATCATTTGAGTGGTCTGTTTTGTACGGTGAGTTCGTTCTTTCTCGGTTGTTTTGTACAGGGGTTGCTAATGATTTCCTCTAGCGTTTGGTGTCCTGATTCTAGTTTCTGAATTCTTTCATTCTTTATTTGGTGGGCTGTAATGTTTGTTATGAATATATAAGCGAACTTTTGTGGTCGACCTTGAGCGGGCCCCAAATTTTGTACGAGCAGGCGTGCACATTTGTAAAGGGGTTGGGAACTTCGACTTTTGTGCTCAGGGATTCGCGTGTTCGACAACGCTCTAATTTCTCATCTTGCACAATATCTCCTTGCTTCACACTCGCATTCGAGCCACATTCCCTACCTCGGTCCTCGGATTCCTCTCGATTCCGGCATAAAAGCATATGTTCTCACATGTCATACCCAGCTATTTTACTCTGGATACTTTATATTTTCCTAACACTGATGCTCTATCTGGTCTTACGCATGTTTTTCTCAGGCTGCTCAAAGAGAGTGCTTGTGGACATGGCGGAAATCCGGGTTGTGAGCTTCATGAGAGTGGTTGGGTTTGGTTTTGTCGAAGCTGTTTGTTCAAGTTTCGGGAAGTTGAAGTTGAAGTTGCGATACACTTTCGGGCATTCTGCCTTCGCCAACTTCCTCAGGCGAATTTTTCTCTCGTCAACCTTCGCGCAACCCTTTTCAAGTTCAGTATTTATGAACCCTTGCCATTCTAGGCGCGGGCTTTAATACCTGAAAAGTCACCTCGACAAGGAATTTCTCACCTGGGCCCTGACGTGTTGCAATCAAGTATGTCTTCGCACAATTTCGAACACCGCTTACCCGTCGCACAGTTTCGTATCGCGTGTAGCCTAACTAATTGGCCCGAACAGCATTCGACGCAGGAATTTTAAGAATTTAGGGAGCTTTGGCAGGTACACACATACTATTCGTGTGGTCAAGAGAGTGAGTGAAGCCACGTCACCGTCTGCCCACGCACCTCGCTTCAAGTCGTCGAGCCTCCCCTCCTCTCGTCGCGCCTCCCCTGGTCACGCTACCCCACCCATCGTCGCGCCTCCCCTCGTCGCGCCTCCACTCCGCTCGGCGCGCCTCCCCTCCGCTCGACACGCCTCCCCTCCTTACGCCTTCTGCGGCTCCCCTCCCCTCTTCGCGACCCCTCGTCCCCTGTCGCGCCTCCCCTTCCATCGTCCCCTGTCGCGCCTCCTCTCGCCGTGCCTCTCCTCCCATAGTCGCGCGCACATCCGTCGCACCTCCTCTCCCCTCGCCGCGCTTCCCCTCCCCTCGTCGTACCTCATCTCCCGTCGTCGCGCCTCATCTGTAGAATGCCGTTCTCTTCAAAACCTCCTATACCCATTTCAATCTACGTATCTACCTCGCTGTAACCGCCTATATCCGCTACCCTGTCGCTGTCTCGCAAGCCGCATCTCTGCAGTTCTGCAGGGATCGAGCTACTTGGGAGCCGGTAGGATACCCGCCGCATTTCTTAGTCGACTCAAAAGACTCCCGCCGCATTTCTTCCGAAAAAGGCTCGAAGTGAGCTTGGGCTTCTTCTTCGTTCACAGTTCCCCACCTTTTCCCGCCCTACCACACCGTACCCCACCGTTCCCAACCGCTCACTGGCCATGCATGTCGTTCCCAACCCAACCACAGATCCGCCTCTCCTGCTCCCCCCCGCCGTCCTTGCTTCTTCCCCTCACGCGTTCCCAATCCCCAGTAACCCCAACCCTCCTTCCACTTCCTCTTTTTCCTCTTTTTCCTCTTTCGGGTGGGAGAGAATCCTCTCTCTCTCCCCGCTCCTCCCGTCCTTCTCCCCAACCCCCCTTCCTCTTTCTCTCACCCCCTTCCCCTCTAGCATTCCACCGTGCTTGCACTTATGTATCCCTACTCGTCTCACTTGCGCTTCCCAGATTTATCCCATTCCTCCTCCCAATTGCCTCCCCCTCCCCTTTCCCCTCCCCCTTCCCCTCCACCTATCCCCTTCTCTCCCATCACCCCCCTTCCTCCTCTCTCTCCACACAGCACAATAGACTCGTTCAAAGGCGGCTCCAAAGGCGCGACAGCAGTGGCAGCGGTGGCGGAGAGGAGAGGGTCGCTGAGGCAACGCAAAGCTTCCTCCCTGCCTTTCCGCCTTTATTCCTCCCCTTTCCGCCCACTCCCCCTCTCCGTCAATTGCAATGGGTTTGTTCAAAGGCGGCTCCAAAGGCGCCACAGCAGTGGCAGCAGCGACGGAGAGGAGAGGATCACGGAGGCTCACTCCCCCTCCTCCGTGCCCCTCCCCTCTCGCGTTCTCTGATTCAGACCCCTCTTTAGCTGTCCCCTCCTCCCTGCCCCGCTGGGTCCCTCCCTCCCCCGCTCTTCTGCTGCGTTTCTCCCTTACCCCCCCTTTCCCCTCCCTCTCATCCAGGCGCAATGGATCCATTCAAAGGCGGGTCCAAAGGCGCAACAGCAGCAGTGGCAGCAGCGGCGGAGAGGAGAGGGTCGCTGAGGCAACGCAAGGCTCACCTTCTCTCCCCTCCTCGCTGCCTCTCCTCCCTGTGCAGGCACCAGGTGCAATGGATTCGTCCAAAGGCGGGTCCAAAGGCGCCACAGCAGTGGCAGCAGCGGAGGAGAGGAGAGGATTCTTGAGGCAACGAAGGCTTGCTCACTTCCCCTCCCTCCCCCCTCACCCTCCTCTGCTCCCCCCTCTCCCTCCTCTGCTCCCCCCTCTCCCTCCTCTGCTCCCCCCTCTCCCCCTCCCCAGGCGCAATGGATCCATTCAAAGGCGGCTCCAAAGGCGCGACGGCAGTGGCAGCAGCGGCGGGGAGGAGAGGGTCGCTGAGGCAACGCAAGGTGGCAGCAGATGTGGTGGCTGTGATGCTGGATGAAGGCACGCGGAAACGAGTGAGTGATTCATGTGTACGCAACTCTACAGGTCAGGGAATTAGTGGGTGGTTGTTTTATTTAAACTGGCTGGATGAACGAGGCTGGGTTGGCAATAGCCTCTTTTCCTTTTTCCTTTTGCACCCACCCAGGCAGCAGCAGCGTGACTGGAAGCTCTGGAGAGTGACAACCAGGGTGGATGCTGCTGGGGATGAAGACGATACTGCTGGGGTGGCGATTACCTCCAATTTCCCTAACCTGTTCCCCACTTTCCCTTTGAAACCAAACACTCATACCTTGCTCTTTTTTTTGTGTGCCTGTCTCCCATGCACGCAGGCAGCAGCAGCACGATTAGAAGCACTGGAGAGTGACTATACCGGGGTGGACGCTGCTGTGGATGAGGATGAGGATACTGGTACAACGTGTACCTTTTCTTTCTCTCACCTGTCCCCCACCCTCTCGCATGCACCCAGGCAGCAGCGGCGCGTCTGGGGGCTCTGGAGAGTGACTATACCGGGGTGGATGCTGCTGTGGATGATGATGATTATCCCTTGTTGTGTTTCTATGTCTCCTTTGTCACCACTGATATTCACTGCACGCAGGCAGCAGCAGCACGATTAGAAGCACTGGAGAGTGATTATACCGGGGTGGATGCTGCTGTGGATGAGGACGATCATGTGTTCAATGCAGAGGAGGAGCTCGTGCAAGAAGGTATGCTTATAGCGAGTATGGGACGGCTTGTGCAAGAAGGTATGCTTGTAACGAGTATGGGACGGCTTGTGCAAGAAGGTATGCTTATAATGAGTAAGGGACGGCTTGTGCAAGAGGTATGCTTATAGCGAGTATGGGACGGCTTGTGCAAGAAGGCATGCTCGTAACGAGTATGGGACGGCTTGTGCAAGAAACTATCCTTATAGCGAGTATGGACAGCTGGTGCAACAAGGTACCCGTATAACAATATGGACAGCCGGTTCACGAAGGTATGCGTATATCGAGGACAAAGGAGGTGTGCTGTAAGGTTGATATGGTTGGTGCATCGAAAGAAAAAGGGGGCATGGGACGTCTCAAGATTAGGAGGCAAAGCGAAGGCTACAAGTGGGTGGGGATGGGCCAGGGGGATTCGCAGATCGCTACGATGCAGGGATGCAGGGATGCAGGGATGCAGGGATGCAGGAATAGGATGCAGGCTTTTCTCTCTTCCTCTCGAGTCGTACGATTTCACACTTCCTGTCCGTGTGTTTCCTTCCTCTCTCTCGTCCTATATCCCTCTCCCCTCTTCCTGTCTTCCCTCGACTGCCACCAGGTTTCGCGTCTGCCAAGCGAGTGAGCCGGCCGGGCAAGAGGCGCACGAGGCGAGCTCTCCTTTCTATTCCTGTGTTTCTTTCCTCCTTTCCCCCCTCCACCTCTCTCTCCTCTTCCCGTCTTCCCTCGACTGCCACCAGGTTTCGCACCGGCCAAGCGAGTGAGCCGGCCAGGCAAGAGGCGAACGAGGCAATCTGCTGCAGCGGTGGTGAGCCGAGCGAGCAAGCGCACTCCCAAGACCTTTGCAGAGCTGCTAGAGGAGGTAGGGCACGGGGTGGGTATAACAGGGGTGGGTTATCCTACCAGAAAGAGCAGAGGTGGTGAGCCGAGCGAGCAAGCGCACTCCCAAGACCTTTGCGGAGCTTCTAGAGGAGGTGCGATGTGGGGTGGGTACGTTGTTGTGGGGGGGTGAGTAAGCGCAACTGCCCTCCTTCCTCCCATGGCTGCAGCAGTGTATCGAGTGTGCTTACCCCTACATGCCTTGACTTCTCTTCCATATCCCCCCCTCCTTCCTCACATCACAGGTGCGTCTAAAGGCGTATGTTTTTTTAGAATTCTCAAAAAACATACCTTCCATATCCCCTCCTCCTTCCTTACATCACAGGTGCGTCTAAAAGCCCTGCCACCTGCAACGCCTTCCCACCTCACCCCCACAGCCTCCTCAGTGCGTCACTTCTGCTCCGCGTGTGGCTCCCATGCGCCCTACACATGCCCCTGATGTGCCAGCCAACCTTCTTCCATGCCTCTCCTTCCTTTTCCTTCCCTCATTCCCTCCCTTTCCAACCCCGTTCCTACCTGTTCCCATCCTTGCTCCTCTCTCCCACACAGGCGAGTCTAGAAGCCCTGCCACCAGGCACGCCCTCGTACCTCACAGCAGCAGTGGGACCCCCCACAACCACCTCACTGCGCTGCTTCTGCGTTTTATCCAACCTTTCCCTTTCCCTACCTGGTTCCACCCTCCCTGTTCCTCCCTCCCTGCAGGCGAATCTAGAAGCCCTACCGCCAGGCACGCCCTCCTACCTCACAGCAGCTGTGGGCCCCCCCACGGCCACCTCAGTGCGGCGCTTCTGCTCAGCATGTGGTAGCCACCCGCCCTACACATGCCCTCGGTGTGCCTCCAATGCTGACCCTTTTCAAGCTCCCTGCTTCTTCTCTTCCATACCATGTACTCCCTACCCACAGGCGAGTCTAGAAGCCCTACCACCAGGCACGCCCTCCTACCTCACAGCAGCAGTGGGGCCCCCCACAGCCACCTCTGTGCGCCGCTTCTGCTCCGCGTGTGGCTCCCACGCGCCCTACACATGCCCCCGCTGTGCCGCGCGATTCTGCTGCATCAGCTGCCAAAGACTGCACAATGAAACCCGCTGTCTCAAGTTTGTCATGTAGTGGTTTATGATACGGTACGGTAAGCTAGAATATTGATAAGCGTGTTGTGCTGTTTGGGAAAACTGTGTGACTCACTACTGCTTCGCTGTGTTTGATTTCTTACCGTCATCGCCCGGATATAAGACAGTGTTGAATAGTAGACAGGGGTTGTCTACTATACGGGTATCTCTTATAAACAGGCTAGCCTTTTTATACGACACCTATTTGTGTGTACGAGTTAAGACATATATGTCTTATAATCAGAACCGGGGTTTGGGGGTTTTCTTATAAACAGGGGGTGTCTTCTAAACGAGCCTTCTTTACTTTAGGGGGGTACATGCATACATTCATGAATCTCTACTTCTACCTAACCCCCCTCAGTCACCGCCTCCTCGCCTGCGCTAACAACAGGCTCTACACCCAGGTCTGGCACTCGCCAGGCATGCCTAGCCGTCTCCCTAGGCTCGATCATGCGGTCAGCCTCGGCCGCCGCCCCGCGGTAGTTGGGGGTCTCCTGGTACAGCACCTCCAGGCCGGTTGCCACTGCCACCTCCCGCACGCCCTCCGCCTGCATCGCCTCCTCCTCCTCCTCCTCCTCCTCCTCCTCTGGAGCCCGACCGAGCAGGCGCGTGTTGTCGCCTGTGGTCCCCCCGAGGGACATGTCCGCGGAGACATCAGTGGTGCTCCTGGCGCGCAGGTGAGACATCACCAGGTGGTTCTCCGTTCCGTCCAGCTTGCTTGAGATCCCACAGTGGCGGAACGCGTCGATGATGATCTGCTTGGGGACTTGATCCCAAGCCTTCGCGATCCACTGCAGCACCACGGGGTGGGGCGGCCTCCGCAGGTTTCCTGCGGGTGGGTTTGAGGACGGGGCAGCGAGATGTTAGAGACACGGACATGAAGGAGCATGTTTAAGACAAGGACAGGAAACAGAATAGGAATAATACCATAAATGAAGGACCAACTCACCCTTATTCGTCTTCAGGTGAATCCCCTCACGCATGAACCACCTGGCGTAGCGCGCTCGCACAGCAGCCTTGAAGCACCGGTTGATTGAGACGTCCAGGGGTTGAATCTGGCTCGTACAACCCGCTGGGATGACTGCAGGGGTGATGCTGTGCGTGCGGTACGACTGAAGCATGGTCTGGGTGATGTGACCGCGGTAGGAGTCCAACACCAGCATCGCACGCCTCGCGTTCTGGCCGCGCTGGGGGTTCAGATGGGGCAGCACCTCCTTGGACAGCCAGGTCTGCACAACGCTCTCGTCCATCCACCCGTTGTCCTGTGCTTGGACCACGATTCCTGCCAGGCACACAAGGGACAGACGGGCTTCAGCACAGTGGGGCACGCTCATCAGGCAGTCGCACGGTTGAATTCATTACGCTTACCTTCCGGAATCTCACAGTTGGGGACGTTCTTCATCTTGAACCACACCCACGGCCGCAGCTTCTCCCCGGATGCAGTGCACGCGAGCATCACCGTCAAGCGCGTTTTCTGGTAGCCTGCAGTGTGGATTGGGACCGAGCGCGCGCCGCGGTGCTCGATCGTCCGTTCGGCCGGCATCTCCACGAATAGTGGAGTCTGGTCCGCGTTGATGATGCGGGCCAGGTCGATGTTGTGCCGCGCCCTGTTGATGCGCACGAACTTCCAGAAGGACTCGCAGTCCTTCGCGCACTCTGCAAACGGTACACGCGCAACGGAAACACGGGATGGTTAGACACTGGGTGAGGGACATGCATTCAATAGCCCGCGCGCGACACGAATTCCTTCAACACGCACCTGCCGACAGTCGTTGGCCGACCTTGGTCTTCACCCGCATCACCAGGTTCCAGCGGTCACGGAAACGCTGGCTCTAGTGAGAGCTCGCGTTCCAGTTCTTACCGGCGTGATGCTTCTTCATCCACTCGCGGCTCCACTTCTGGGTGTCCTTCACCGAGATGGCCACCCCGTTAGCGCGCTGAAGGCAGATGTAGCGGTACAACGCTGCCTCCATGTCGGGGTAGTGTGAGTGGCGCCCCCCCCCGTGCATCCGCTTGCGGCAGTTAGCCGCGCCCTTGTAGACGCCCGCAGCCGCCTCCGCACTCCAGCGTCTGATGCAGGCGATGGACGCGGTTGACTCCACGCTCGTCTTCTTCAAGGAGCCGAGCTCCAGATAGCGGCGCGCCCACTTAAGCTTCTCACGCACGGTCCAACTGCGGCGCTTCCTCGTAGTGTCCTTGCTGCGAGGGGAAGGTGGGCGGGTGTTGGGATTATAGAGGGTGGGGTCCTTCGGCGTGACCTTCTCAGGGAACGTGGGAATCGGGCCCGCCGCCGCCGCGTACTCATCGTCGCTGCCCAGAGTCTCGTTCACGACGATTTCGTCAGGATTCGGCGCCTTCATCGCCTTCTTCTTAGCCGCACCCTTGCTAGATCCCGGGTCTCCGTCGGATGTCCGCTTCTTGTTGCTTGTGCGGCGACGAGCAGGGGCCTTAGCAGGGGCCTTAGCAGGGGCTTCCGCGACCTTGGCTTTTCCCTTCTCCGCAGCGGTGAGTTTCGGGCGACGCTCCTCCCCCGGACTGTCGTCGTCAGAGAGCACCACGCGGGCCCGCTTCGACTTGGACTGTAGGCGATGGCGCAGCCTCCGCTTCAGTAGCGGAACGTCGTCGTCTGTCCCAAGGCTACATGGGTCGTCGTCGCCGCTTTCACCGTCAAATAAGACGGCATCCGCAGCAACCGTGTCCGACTCTGCCACAGCATCCGCATCCGCAACTGCGGCCGCGCCGTCTTCAGCCTCCTCATTCGCATCCATCGCCGCTTCCTGTGCATCCGCCGCTGCCTCCGCGTTGTCACCATTCGCATTTTCACCTCCGTCGTTGTCCGAATCTCCAGCCCGCCACTCTTCCACCTCGTCGTCGCTCCCGACCGGCCGATTCCACCATTCGTCCTCCTCGATGTCGGCAGGACCTAATTCGTCGCCCGAAGCGCTGTCGTCGTGGCCGTTCTCTGGCCAATCCTCCTCGGCGTCGTCGCCGTTCGCTTCTTCTCCATCGTCCCCGTCACAGCTCGCACCGGAGGCCGCGGTAGGACTTCCCGCCTTGCTCGCGTTCTTCGCCATGGCTACACGGATGTCATCGCCGGGCGAGTTAATTCGCCCGTAGTTATTCACCTGCACGTGAGGACGAGGAGAGGACGAGCCTGGGGGTACTTTGCTGCGCATGGTTAGAAAGCCTGCCGAGAGCAAGGTTGAGACGAGTATTCCTAAACCCTTGAGCACCAAATGAAGTGAGAGGCCGACTACCCACCCCAGCCAGAGTGCCCCATCCACAGGTGCCAAGCCGCTCCTCTACGAGGCATCTCCTCGTAGAGGACAGCCCTCACGCTGCCAACGTGCTGCCAGCAGCGTTCTGGAAGCATCCCTGCGCTGCTGGCAGCAAAACGACGCTGGCAGCATCATTAGATGCTGCCAGCACAGAGGAATATTGCCAGCAGTGGCAGCTCCCTCACGTGGCAAGTGTGGGCGCTGCATGCATCACCACCGAGGTCGGCCTGTTTCAATGAATCTGGTCTCTGGGTGTTTTCTACACACTTTGCAAGTGTTACAGTCAACTTAATTTTTTTTCCATTTATAAGACTTATAAGACACCCTAAACCATCCCGTTTACAAGATAACTCAAGCATTTTTGCCCGTGTACGAGATAAGACATATATGTCTTATATCCGGGCGATGACGGTATTTGGAGGTGTCTCAAAACAGCTGTGTTGATTCGCTGTGTACAGAACAGTTAGTGATCTGATTTGATCTGATTCTAACAGCTGTCGACTTGAAAGAGCTTCCATGTGAAAGAACTGATGCTGCGGCCAAGCTTGTTGTCACTCCAGCACCTGATGATGGCAAAGCTAGAGTCCAGCAACCCAGCTTCAGTGATTCAGTGATTTCAATAAAGGGCCTACAGCAAACAGGCTCCGCTCGGAGGTGGTGCTGCTATGTCTGGTCATGAAGTGAAGGCAGATGTGTTGGTGTGGTACAAAAGTTCATATCTGACAATACCCAGCCTAAACACCAGTTCGTGACTGTGTTTCAATCAAGCACTTTCCACTCTACTTTGTTTCTTTCGACTCTACGTTCCACTCTGCTTTGTCAACAACAGCACTGAAGCAAAGTCGCAAGCTGCAAGGCTCACGTATTGTCAGTAGTCTGTCTATCCAAAATGGTTGGGCCAAGCAGCAGCAAACATTCCTTCAAGAACAAGAATGGGCGCAGTACACACATCCTCCATCTTGTGTGGAAGATATGGTACGCATCACTTTACAGGATGCTATCGTATGTTATCAAGGAATGAAATCTTTGTGAAATGCCAACATCACTTTGGAGGATGCTATCGTATGTTATCAAGGAATGATTTTTTCGAGAAATTCTAACATTACTTTGGAGGTGCCCCCTGTCAGAATACTGAACGAGAATGAATGAACTATGAATGAGTTGGGTACAAGTACTAACCCTAATTGGGTTGTACCCTTTATAGGCTACCCCACTATAGCCTACACAATGTAAGCACTATGATAGTTTTGTCAAAATATTATATTGCTTATTTTGTGTAGGCTATAATTGGTTTGTACCCCTTATGGGCTACCCCACTATAGCCTACACAAAATAAGCAATATAATATTTTGACACACCCCCATAGGCAAAGTGGGGGAGAGCAAGTGGTCACAAGACCAGTCAAGAAAAACAAAGCAAGCTCAGGGTGGATCACGAAGTAACCATACATTCCGAGCACAAGCAAAGGCCACAAGGCCAGTTCACAAGCAGATTTATATAAAAGAGAACAAACAGTACAGTGATCATACCCTAACAAGTGTAAGCATGCAGGTATATATATAGATCACAGTACAAGCAAAATCATGCAGTGAGCAAGTAAGGCAAAGTAGGCAAAAGGCCTAAAACAGTACAGAAAAGCTGATGATAACCAGGCAGAAGTGCCTTGGTGAATATATCAGCAGTGTTGGCCTGAGT